TTTCAGGAGACATACACAGCTCCAACTCCCCCCCCCCAGGCAGCCTACATTAGAACAGGCTACTGCAAATACATGCCTTAGGGAGCTGGAGCAATTATTCCTCTCAGGAATTATTCCTGAGAGGGGAAGGAGGGGGGAAAAAAACCAACCAACCAACAATCCCTCCTGCAAACAGGAGAGAGGCCACAATTCCAGTGGAGTACCCTAGATGCTATAGGGCCTGAACTCTCAAGGCAGATCTGGTAAAACTGCTGTTCCTGACCTCCACTTCCCCACCCCAAAGATGAGTGAGCCTGACCTCCCAAGAAGCAAAAAGAAACATGATCAAGTTAGTTTTTCTAAAAAGTAACCATTGAGATATGTTTAAATAGATGAAGAGGGAAGGCAATATTTAAACAGAGGGCTGGAATTTCATTTTGGTAACTAAGAGCTGAGCTCTTCCAAACATTCTGCTGTGCAAGCCTGGTTATGTTTACTGTCAATACAAGGAAGGATGATAAGTTTTGCAGGAGGAAATCATGCTTCTTGCTCCTCCCAAAGATTCAGAGGGCTTTACCGTCCTTGCTCAAGGAATTCAAATCCTTCAAACATTGTCTAGGCTGGAAAGCCACATAACAGTTTGAACTGGACTTAGGAATAAAGACACTTTGGTGTTGGCTGGAGCTGGCCTTGTCTCTGTCAGAGCTACTTCTCAAGACACACCAGTGCTTAATGGAAGCAGGGTGTATGAAGAACAGCTCTTGGAGCAGAAGTATCTCCTGCAGCCTGGAAGGAACATGCAGAAGAGCTAATTAGCACTTCCTGCCCCTGAGAGAGAGGAGAACTTGACCCACAGGACAGGATCCCTGTCTGCAACTGATTTGAGGATGTATGTTCACAATAAGCCCTGACAGGCTGCAGAGATGGATTATACAGATGTCAAGGACTTTAGATAGACCTTGTTGCTGTAAACAAGGTGTCCCAGGACACAGGGCCAATGGGAAAGGCTGTTGACATCAGGGAGTGAACACAAGGTTGATGAAGCACGACGAAACTCTGCACAAGAAAAAATGCCACACCAAGACCTCCTTAAAATCAGACAAGTATAAACTCCTAGTGAAGAGCAGCAGTTACTTCCCTCAGTGAGAGCCCTGTGATGCAGAAGTTGGTGTTTTGAGAGCGTTTCTCCACAGAACCCAGTGTATTTTCCATGATCCTCCACTTCCAGATGGAGGATCTAGGGCACAGACTCAGTTGCAAAACTAGTCAGGGAGTAGGATCCATCTTTCCCAAGTCCACAGAGCCACAAGGGTACAGCATGAGACCAGCTTTTCCCATACTTCAGGGCTTAGATACACTGCAAGTTTTATTTCCAGTAATGTACTTCGGTTTTTGTCCTTTTAATGTCAGGATATAATTTATTTTTTTAAAAGGAATAATTGAAATCTCTTGCAAGAGGTAGAAAACCACTTCAGACACAAAAATCTTCCTGTGTGAAAATGAAGTCATACAATGTGGCACAGAGGAATGCAGTTTGCTGATACAGCTCCCCACAAAAAACACAGCTGAGATTAAAATTGCTCCACTGGCTCCAAGACAGGGTAACTTGGCTGGCTTCACTTGACTGACAGAGTGCCAAGGTCTGGTAGCCAACAGCAGCTTCAGAGCATCATGCAAATCCTCCCCGAACCAACAGGAAAGCATAAGAACTTGCAGAAAGGTGATCAGCATCAGTGCCTGCCAGGTCAGAGTTATTACATGGGAAAAGAAAAGAGGTCTCTCCTTTGCTTTTCAGAAAAGAGGAGCCACAAACACCTCTCCAGACAGAGAGCCTTGCAGGCAGGGCAAAGAGAGAACCTTATGCATTTCTCCAGGCAATTTTGAAATTGGAGTGTGCTTACTTGGAAGCTCCCTCACAGAAAGAGAGGGAAGAGAGGTTCAGCAAATTAATAACAACATGGGGAGAAAAAGCTGCATCAGAACACTGCAGTGCACACAGCTGCTCACCCTTCACAGGATCCACAGCACAGAGTGGCACATGAAGATTCAGGCAGCACTGCTGGCTCTTCAAGTGCTGCCAGTGGGACAGGACCCTGTAACCTGCCTGGGTCCTCAGCATTTTTTTCTTACTGCAAGAGTTTGTCAGTGCCCATGTACAAGAGTGCCCACCAGGAGAGCCAACAAGCATCAGCCTCCCTTTCAGTGTCAGCATTCAAGGGCAGCACAAGGAGAAGGACCAAGGTTTGAGGTTTGTGGCATGGCACCCACCCCCAGCAGAGACCATGTGTGCATTGCTGGTACAGAGAGGAGGGAGGGACCAATATTTTGGGGTACAGACTAACAAGACCCACCAGGCAGCCTGTACCTCAGGGTACAATAGTAGGCTTTTATTTTACTCCTTTTCCCACATCATCTCTGGAACATAAAAGCATGTGCAGGAATAATTTTGTCACAGCATTTTCTTGCTTTGAAAGAGGGAGTGAGGTGTTAGATGTCAAAGTCCTCTGTTCTTCTGGGTGCTAAAAAGAAGGAGATCTTATGCAACTGTTCCCAGCAATTTGTCTAGAGAGGGCAGCACCTGTATACAGCAGCAGAGCACAGGGTGCTTGGAGAAAAAGGGTTTGTCAGCACTGCTGAACTCAGTTTCAACAGTGATTAAAGGCAGACCACAACAACTTCCAGTCCCTCCTGACTTCAAAAAACACAGGGCAGTGGTGGCTGTCTTAAGAACTGGTAAATCATGGAGTATTATTTTTTTTTTAAACAGTGAACAGACATGATAAAAATCTTCTGGCACCAAATGTCTCACCCTGACATCCCAAAGATAGGACAAAGCACAGCCTGCTGGTTCCCGAAGTTCATGAACACACAATGGGTCACCAAGACACATCAGACCACAGCCATTCAAGGGCTCAGAAAGGAAGTAACACAAGCTTTTTCAAAGCTTCAGTTTTCCTCCAAAACAGCACTTGAATGTCATGTAGAAATCCACTGACACCACTTGGCACATTTCAGGTGGCTGGGCATTATGTGCCTACATACATTCTTATCCTGCAATATATATTCTTATCTAGATGTTGTCAGCATGGAGCTACTATGCTGGTCAAACAAAGGCAGATTTTTGTTAGACCTAACATCTCTACTTCTACTTCACCACCTCAACTGCTCCTGAGATCCCTGTGTTAGGCAGCTAGGCATGGCAGCAGGATCTCCATCCAAGCTTCTTCAGGAAAGCTATTATCTGCATCACCACAGCCTCAGTGAGGTAAGGTCAAGAAGAAACAACCTAAACAAAAAAGAAATGGAGGAAACTCAGGAGAGAGCAGCCACATGGACAATCTTCTTACTTCAGCTGGGGAAAATAATGTTATTCAAGAGCACCAATTCAAAAATTGAATAATTGTTTATTGTTCCAGAAGTACATTGCTCTTTTATACATATTTCATAAATGATACAGGATTTTACACATATTCAGGGGGTTTTTTTGTGTTTGGTTTTGTTTTTTTTAAAGAAGGACTTTTCTCCATGCTCCCTCCCTCATCCCAAACACACACCAAGGATTCAGCTACAGGATCGTGTTCTTTTTTTTTCCCTTTAAAACTCACCACACAAACAGGATAAAACAGATAAAAAAATAATCACACAAAGTAATTAAATTGAAAGACAGAGAAAAAGGGGAAGGGAAAAAAAACAACCTAGAAACATGCACCCAGTCGGTCCAACATGCCATTAAGTGAGAAGAGGCAGCAATTCCAGCTGTGTTTCCACATCTGCAAGGCACCTGGCATCTAGTTAATACTGATTTGTTTTATTTCTTTCCTATTTTTTTAAAACATGGTTCTCCAAAGGAAAAGAGAAAAAAAGAAGCCTCTTTCCATGACACAGGAGCAGTAGTGAAACATGAAAAAAGCAGCCAGATTTTCCATATATAAAGCTGTGCCCTTCTCCCACCTTCATCCTGTCTCCACAGTATTTATCAGCAGGATGCTAAAACACACTGACCTGCTCTGCATGAAGAGGTGTTTTATCTGTTTAGAAATCAGCCAGCCTTGGCTAGAAGAGAGGGCAATGGGTTGACTTTCCTTCCTCTATTTCTTTTAGCTAAGATGAAGAGATGTCATTAGCCACTCCCAAGAAATTCTGACCTGTGGGCACAAAGTTCACTTAAAGGTACTTAAGTAGGGGGTAAGTGCTGGAGAACTGAAGTGGTTCTGTGTCTTGCACTGTGAGAGCCTCAGGCTTTCATAAAGCTTCTGGGCAAAGAAAATGCTTTGACCATATCTGAGACCTTTCATCTCATGACACAAGCAGTCAACAATCACATTTAATTACTCCTTGTTCCAAAACTGTTCATTTAAAAGCAGGAAAACATGATTCTCCGACAGTTTCAAAATCCTTGAAGCCTTCATCATTTCATAGTCCAGGTGGCTATCAGATTTGGGGTAGGAAGAGGGGAAATGTCCCTCCCTTAAGACTGATTAAAAAACTTCTCATGCAATGCTGCCATTGATTTCTAGACGGAGCTCAAGGGCATTGGGACGCAGAGTTTACACAGTTATTATGGAATAATCCAAAAGATCAATTATCAGTTGTCCAAAAGACAACTCATGCTTTCTCTCACTGGGCTACAACCCATCTGTGCTACAAATAAGCAAAGGAGGAAGTCAGTGGAGCACACGGGGTGGGCTGGGGAGGGGAAGCTCATGGTTTTCCAGTAGAAAGCAGTCTTGTAGGAACTTTATAAAAGAGACCAGAAGTGTGCGTGTTAGTGGCCGTGGAGCACAGGTTCTGGTCACCAGTCATAGCTCCAGGTGGCTTGGATTCTTTGTTCTGTTTTTGTGGTGGGGTTTTTTGTTCCCCCCCCCCCACTTTTCATTTTGAGAGAGAAAAAGAGAAATCTGAATCAGGTAAAGGAAAATTTAAAAAGCTGAGCAGGCTGCTGGTGTCTTATCAAGAGGCAGACCCTGCAAAGCTAGAAGAAGACAACCCCTACATCCCAGCATTACATTCTCTTCCTCAACCCCCCCCAATCCTGTATTTGTACACAGTTGCCATTCATCTTTAAATACGACCGTTTTGGCTAAGCCCTTCTCAGAACTAACATTCCATAATGTCCCATCTTCAGATTTATGATATTTCCCCCCCCCCTCCAGTCCTTTTGTCTTGATTAAAGGTAAAAACCCTCCACCCCACACCACCTCCCAGCTTCCACCTGCAATGCTTTAATTAAAAAGGCAAGAGCTATGAACAGGTTTATGGCCGGGGTTCAGAGCTTCTCTGCTGATCAGTCCTTCTCATCAATTTGCTGGATGGGCAGGTGAACCTGCAGTGGGTCTCGAAGCCTCTTAAGGTCCAATTCTGCCTAAAAGTAAAAGACACATGATAAAGAACAAGCTCTCAAATACACCTTCCTCCAATACCATTCACCTTTACAGAATGGAGAACTTTTCCGTCTTTCCTTGTTTTTCCTGTCCAGAAGGGAAGAGTTGAATAAGTGCAACAGTCACACGCTCGTAGTTGGGAAAATGATTCTCAGCACTTACTGCTACTCTACTTCTCTAAACCTGTCTACATGCAGGAACATGGTAGGGAAGATGTGATCCTCTAAAATTCAATGGAACTTTTTTAAAAAACAAACAACCACCTAGATGAATGGGAATGGTTGATACTAGAAGAACAGCTCCTTGAAAATACAGCCACCCAAGGGTATCGTATCAACACAGCATGAGAAAACCCAGAGGTTTTCCTGAGTTTTTTCATGACACCAAAAGAGCCTAATCCTGACCTCCCCTCTACTGCTTGTGCAGCTCCTTCTCCAAGGCAGAGGGAGAAGACATCCTGCCCTTGAGATCCTAACACAGTCACTTCCAGAGCCTAGAAATAAACAGAATGATAGGGAGCAGTGAAAAGTAACGTGGTAACTCTGCTTTTTCTGCTCATGCCAACCTTCTGCAGAAGGGCTCTCAGAAACAACAGAAGATCTCTACCAGACTCCTTTACTGAACAGATCCTACAGTACAGATAGTCTGCCAAAAGGGTTTGTCTCTAGAACATGAGAAATGTGTCCCTGCTGCTTCTAACAACACCAGTCAATTTTTTGAACATTATTTTCCAGGACTGAAACACAGTGCACTGAAGTACTATGTCAGGAAGACACAAACTGAATGGATGCAAGTCTTCATTCCTCACTAAACCCATCTGGTGTGTAGGAGCTGAGAAGGAAGGAAATCTTGAATTAGGCTCCTCTGAGGCATGAAGTGCCTGAAGCAACTCAAAGTTTGCCAGCAGTTTCTAAAAGGCCCTTACAGATAGATACAGGCAACAATTTCATGTTGATTTCCACATTCAGCAGTTCTATTCCTGGGCACATTAAAGTCAATTCAGTGACTGCACCAGGGCTGTGACAAGAAAATGGGCTGAAAACTTAAGAAACATCCATTCCTGTTTGAGGTGCATCTAATAATAGCAGCTAAGAACTAGCGAGCAGTGATTTCTTTGTCTTATTTCTGGAAAAATTGTTACCTGAGCAATTGCATCCTTGAGTTGATTGTATTTCTCTAGATCAAATCGTGTCTTTTTGGCTCCTTTATGGAAAAATAATAAGTACTGTCTGTCTCTGGCATCTGGATAAACATATTCCTAAAACAGGAGAGAAGACAGGAATAAAGCATGAACAGGACAACACAGAACACCATCAGCACAGTCTGTAGCAGGTGTGTTTTGGGAGGATGAGTAGTTTCTGTCAGGGAAGCCACAAGACCATGTGGTGGGCTGACCCCAGCCAGCAGCTAAACCTCTACCCAGTCACTCACTCACACCCCCACAGCCAGATGGAAGATGATGATCACAAGGGCAAAAACCAAGAACAAGAGTAAAGACAGTTTAATAAGTGAAGGAAAAAAGCCCATAGGAGTGATGACAAAAGCAATCACTCACCATCTCCCACCCACAGACCGATGCCCAGCCAGTCTCTGGGCAACAGCTATTGTGGAGAACCTCCCCCCCCCAGTTTATTGCTGAACATGAGGTGATATGGAATATCCCAGTTCAAGATTAGCTGTCCTGGCTGTGTCCCCTCACAACACCTCACCCACCCCCAGCATATTGCTGGGGAGTAGAGACAAAAACAACCTTGATGATATGCAAGGACTGTTTAGAAACAGCAAAAACACTGGCGTGCTATCAAGACTGTTTTGGTCAGAAATCAAAAACACAGCACCATACCAGCTGCTGTGAGGAACATGAACTCCATCCCAGCCCAAGCCAGTACAGTCAGACATTTGCTTCCCTACTGGTATGTTACAGCCCAGCAGCAAGTCACCATCCCCTCCCTCCTGTCCCCAGATGTGTGAATCCTTCCTTACAGAAAGAAAATAAAGTAACACATTTCAGGTTTTTAATACTGAGAAGTCTGAGGGGTGAAAGGGAAAAGAAAAAAAACTGTAAATACTGGAAAAAAACCTTAGTAAGATAGCCCTTACTCTTTTTTCTTAAGGTCACAAACATGCAGTGGCTAATTAAAGCAACAATAGTTGCTCATGAGTTCATCTCTCAATCAAGCTGCACAGGCAAGAACAAGAATCCAATCACACAGCTTTTGCCAGGGATACTCTGCTGCAAAATGTCACAGCTTTTTGGAGCCTGCAGATAACTTGGAGCAGCTGAGCTGTTCACACCAGATCCCACATGGCTTGTACAAAGCACAAGTCTGCCTGATGAAGTTAACTCTCCCTTGCCCTGGAACATCACAAAGCCTCTGTGGCTGGTATGCATCCAATGATCAGGACTGTCAGGAGGAGAAAAGCTGCATCTGGAGTCAAGCCATGCTTGAAACTTGGATTTTAAGTCTGGGAGAAGAAGGACTAGTTGCTATGGGTGACTAGAATAAAATATCAAATCAGAGTTCAAACAAGGCAGAAGTTCCAACTGCACTTGGCAGGAAATACAGCAGGACCCCTGACAGGGGCACATGTATCCTCAAGCCCCTGAAATGCTGCAGCTGCCAGAGCACTGGGACACCATGCTGGAACACCCACATCATCTCTTCTAGAGGTCCTGTCACAGCACAGGCTCTGAGTCCTCCCTCCCTCATTAGTTAGATGGGATTCTGAGGTCTGAACAGGAATGCAGGGACAAACCACGGACTAGAAATCAACACAGACTCTACCACAACTACAAGAACCCAGGGAAGCACAGCTCCACTTTGTGCAAAAATGTTCCAACACTGGAACAGGCTTGGTTTTTAAAAGACTGAGCGCAAACTGAGATCTGGAATTGCACCATGGGGCAAAGATGCAAACAGATCTGGAACAGAGTCCAGATCCACAAAACACCTAAACAAAACCCTTTCCAATATGATCCCTGAACCTTTCTTGTCTCTTTAAAAAGGTCAGCATCTCATGTCAGGGACGTGTGCTTCCCTGGAACTCAGTAGGTACCTCACATACACATAGTTCATTTGGGCTGCTAAGTCACAGCACTTGGAGGCTTTGGGTGCAAGCCCATGTGTGTGAGGCTATGTGTATGTGCAGAAACCATTACCTGGCAACAGATGAACCTGTAGAGCTCAAGCAGTCAATCACAGAAGATAAAGAAGAATTTATGGTTAGACAAGCAGGAAATCAGCACTGGCCACCAGAAAACCCCACCACCACACACCACCATCCTGGACCACAACTATTAAATGAAGTGGCATCTAGGTTGTGACAGGATGAAGAAGGGGCAAAGGAACTTGTATCAGGCACAATGGTGCTGCTTTTCTAGTGAGCAGAGCTCCAAGCAATTCTTCTATGGAAGCATCAAGGGCAGCACAAGGGGTCCTACCTGGCGAGTCATTACGAAATAAGCATACATGGCCATGGCACTACCATAGGTGATGAAATAGGTGACTGGTTCCATAATGTCCCAAGAGTATTCCCACCAGGTCAGGCGGGCCAGAATCCCAAACTGAGTGGCCATGTAGGCCAAGCCTCCCCACAACACCAAGGTTGTCCTCTTCTCTGCTTTCCTGCTGATCTCCATCCTTACCTGCAGGAGAGAGAAGTATATGCCTTGTATTCTCAATGATGTTAATAGAATCAAGAGAGGAAGTAAAAACAACACCTTGCATTTATATTAAATGCTAAGTGGTTTGAGACATATGATGTGAGTCCAGGTTATGTAGACAAATCCAGACTTTCCCATCCATATCCTGCTGTCTCCTTATTTTCCAGCACATTCTGGATAGCTTGCAAAGCTGCTTCTTTATGTTCAGAGATGTTCTGTTGGATCAGCCCCAGTCTTTCTCTACTACCAAGATCATGTCTAATTATATGAATCAAAGAAACAAAATACTTCTACAGAGACCAGAAACAAACATAGTTTGGTGCACACCTCAGGAATCTTCTGCTTCAGTAATCTTAAAACTATTTGAAACATGCCAGGGAGCTAATGAAAACCTTGAAATAAATTCAGGCTGCATTCAGAGGTTAAGTAAAACACAATCAGAAACTTCTCACTTTTTCTAGTGGTGCTAGTTGCTCCTTCAGCTCCTCTAGTCTCCCTATCAGCTCCTTCTCTTTGTTCAGCTGGTGCTCCTCAATGCACAGGGCAGTATACAACTGCTGAACCAATGTCTTGACATCATTCAGGTTTGTTGCATTTTCATGGCTTAAGAGCTCTAGGAAAAAACAACAACAAAGACACTGTTTCATATGCATTTATCCACAGAACTTCTGATGTACTCTTCAAAACCTACTATTAATCTGCACAGGAAACACACGAAATTATCTTCCCAAAGCAGCCTTTGGAAGTGCTCCAACATGTTTAAGACAAGGCGACTTCTTAAGAAGAGGCAAGGCTCTATCATTGGATGTTTCTAAAAATTAATAAGAATACGGAAAAGATATACATGCTATTAACTGTAGCTGTTGATACCAACAGCTATTTCTGATGCAGATTATATACAAGCCCCAAAGACAAATGAGCATCTAACCTAGTATGGATCCATCACACAAGCTGTCACAGACTACAGACCATCAGCAACCATCAATATTGGTAACAGCAACTGAAGATTGGGGTCAGTGGCCCCAGAACATGCAGTCTTCTGATCATTATTTTGAGGACCAATCACAGAATCACAGAACCTGAGAGGCTGGGAGGGACCTGGAAAGCTCACCCAGTCCAACCCCCCTGCCAGAGCAGGGGCACCCAGAGCACATCACACAGGAACGTGTCCAGGGGGGTTGGAACGTCTCCAGAGAAGGAGACTCCACAGCCTCTCTGGGCAGCCTGTCCCAGGGCTCTGTCACTCTCACAGCAAAGAAGTTCTTCCTGACATTCACATGGAACCTCCTCTGCTCCAGTTTGCACCCATTGCCCCTTGTCCTGTCACTGGACATCACTGCACAAAGCCTGGCTCTGTCCTCCTGACACTGCCCTGAACAGATTTGTAACCACTGATGAGGTCGCCCCTCAGTCTCCTCTTCTCCAAGCCCAACAGGCCCAGCTCCCTCAGCCTTTCCTCAGCAGGGAGATGTTCCCCTCCCTCCCGCATCTCTGTGGCTCTGTCCTGGACTCTTTCAAGCAGTTCCCTGTCCTTCTGGAACTGCAGGGCCCAGAACTGGACACAACATTCCAGATCTGGCCTCACCAATGCAGAATGGAAGGGGAGGAGAACCTCCCTTGACCTACTAACTACCCCCTTTCTAATGCACCCCAGATGCCACTGGCCTTCTTGGCCACCAGGGCACATTGCTGGCTCACGCTCATCCTCCTGCCCACCAGAACCCTCAGCTCCCTTTCTCCTACCCTGCTCTCCAGCAGCTCAGCCCCCAACCTGTCCTGGTCCATGGGGTTGTTCTTCCCCAGATGCAAGACTCTGCACTTGCCCTTGTTGAATTTCATCAAGTAGAAATTGTTTCCTAACACTCTGTGAGCAGCCCCCTGCTGTGCTGCCAACAGGGCAATAAAATTCTCTCTCAAAGTATATATTGAAATAGAGACAGTAATAGGGTCACTAACCAAAACTGCCTCTATCCCTGCATTTCAACACAAAGAGGATTCCTAAAGGAAATCAATCTGTAAAAGACTTGTGACTAGTGGCATTATATTACACACTCCATACAGAAATAAAACCAAGTCTCAAATTACAGCAAAAAAACCTTGACATTAGCCAAATAAAGAAATACTTTAAAAAATAATGTTCCTAGCATGCTCAGCCTTGTGCCTTAGGTGATCTTCTCAAAATATAATGTTACCAGTGCACAAAAAGCTATGGACTGCTTCAGTTTTAACATGAGCAGCTGGAGGGAAAGAAGTGACTCAGTTGCCTGTGCCAAGGCACGAAGAAAGCACAACACAGCCCCCTCCTAAAGGGCTCCTGTTCCCCCAGGAAGAGAAGAAAAACAACCCAAGTGTTCCTCCTGAAGTGACCATCCAAAAGTACTTTTGTGTTTAACATTACAGTGTTGTGGCATTTCCATTTCAAAATAAACAGGGCAACCTGGTAAAAATGGAAAAACAAGAGCTGAAAAATGTAACAGTACTAATCTCAGTGCCTATTTATGGGCACATTCATTTTAATACAAGCTAACTATAGAAATGTCTTTGGCAAATGAATCAGAGGCAGTAATTTCATGTAACCTAGGTGATCCCAGAGCTCACCTACCAGCGCACAGCAGAGGTATCATGCAAGAGAGCTAACCAAAGAGATAACCACAACGACCCACTGACAAAGACTTGCCTCTCATAGACAAGGAGATGTATGAATTGCCTTACCAAGCAATTTCTCCAGAGCAGAAACAGACACCATGTTTGCATTCTCATTTAGCTGTATTAAAAATCAGAGACTAGACCAGCTAGGCTTGATACAATCACCTGCTCTCAGGGACTCTCAGACTGCTCTCAGCTGGGAAAGACACCTTTTTAAAATCTTCTCTGGCTTACTGTGTTCTAAGTGTGTGAACACACCACATTCATGACCCAGAGCAGTGGGGTGAGAGCAGAGAGTAACTTGTGTGACTCCCAGCCTTAATGGACAATTCTCTGTTAAGGTGCTTTTAAGGAGTCTGGGAAAAGACCCCTCTAATCGAGGTCAGTCTAACCCGCTGATAGGGGAGAAAAAAAACATCTCTCCAATGCTGCACTCCCAATTTCAGAGTCTCCTACATACTAAGGACAAGTGGAGAATGACTAGATGGTTGTTGAAAATGCCCAGTTCTTGCCTCCATAGGAACTTTGAGGAGTGTTAAAATCTCCTTTCAAATTCTTACATTCAAGGCCCATTACTTGAAAGGATTTTCTTATTGATCCAAAATAGTTTGGTTTCCCTTCCTGTTTAATTCTTAGTGATGTAGCCTTGTAAAACCACTGCTATTTCACTGTTTGTTACCTAATTAGGTTTCAATGTTTAATTGCAATATTCAAAGTGCCATATTTAAAAGGAAACCATGTTGTCAGGTAAGGGAACAATTTATTCTTCCAAATGGGATAAGGTAACTTTCAATCTAATTCCCATTTTGTATTGTACCAATTCAAAACGAGTTAAATTAAATTACTTCTCAATAATTAGAAGAAAACGCAGAAAGAAAAATCACAAATTGCAAGAAATCTTTTTTTTTTTTATTTAACACTTTTGAGGGGGTGGACTGGCTTTGAGCAGAATGAATATTTGTTTTCCCTCATTGACTGCTCTGATTACTTGGATGTCATTAAATTAGACCACAAGAGCATGATTAGAAACTGCAAGACTTCCTTTAGAAAGAACATTTGATGTTCTCAAGCAAGTTAATAAAGCATGCTGCAATCATCCAGAGAACTGAACACTGAAATTTATTGCTGATGTTTACTAGAACATGGCTGGTTTACCTCTCTTTGGTGGTCTAACATGGTATGTGATATCATTAATGCTCAGTTTGAAGTCATCCAGCAGGAGCAAATCTATGCCTGTGGAGGAGGCGACACGTGTGCCATCTGCAAGGCAAACAGACAACTCATTCAGCAGCAGCAAAAGCACCTAAATGTGGCTAAGCAAGTTCCAATGCCATCTCAAATCCACTCGTTGGACTTCCACACTTTCCCACAGACAATACTCTTTGTCCAGACAGATATACAGACTGGGAGACCTCATGTGGCAAATACTAGCTGAACTACACTTATGCTTTTCTAAACTTGTGATATTTTGGGTCATTCTTGCAAAAAGCAGTTCCCTCCATCCCATATTCTTTGAGTATTTTACTATGTTTTGCAACACAATCCACTTAAGTGACCTTTACCTCTCCACACCAGCATTTCAATAGTAATTTCTACCTCTGATGTCAGGCAGCTTTGACATCACTCACCTAGCAAACACCTCCCTCCCAGCCAAGACTTTTAGGGAAATATCTGCTTTGATGACACTTGTAAGATACCTTCATGATGTGTCAGAGCTTTGGTGGCCAACAGACACACAGCAATTGAGCAAAAAAAAAAAAATAATGACATGACTGAGTTTTCATAGCTAAGATACTGTTTGCCTTTTACCACCTTCTACACCCAATTACTGACAAATTGATGAGAACTTCTACATGGGTTACATCTTTCCTACTGAATAGTAATTCAATGAAAACCACCTCCATTAAGACTGATGTCTATCAGCTGAGCATTAGGAATGTTTTTCTCCTCCTCCACTCCACAGTCTGATCTCCTTGGCAAACCTAACCATACAAGGATAGCTAACAATAGTCTGACTCCAGGAATGGCATTTCTACCTTCTGCTTTTTCAACTCGCACTGTCACCAGCTTTTACTTACAAAGCAAAAGGCTGGGCGTAAATAGCTGGCAAGCATGTAAATCAATTAGCTTGTGAACAACAGTACCTGCTGAGTAGATTGCCACCCGATCGATGCCTCGGTCCTCCGCTCGCAGCTGTTGTAAGAACACCCCAACAGAGTCTGAGATGGGCTTAAGTGTGAACTGGCAACGTTCACGCCGGGATGGAAGGTTCACAGAAATCACAGGTAACCCATTGTGGTAAACCACTGTCACTTCTACAAAGAAGAGACAAATACAAGTTCAAATAACAGGTCTTCTCAGAACAGGGCTGTATCGGTCCCATGATGACAAGCTGAACATGGAAGAGTTTAAAGCTTTGTTTCATCTGTTATCAAGAGACATGTCCATCAGGGAAAAAATACAAGGTGTCAGAGATTTTCACTCTCATTAACTTGGCCATATCTGTTAAACTTCCTGTGCTTTGTGGAAAAGTAGAAGACGTTAACTCTCATCACAAAAACATTTATACTAAAGGCAACACGATATCTAAAAGCCACAACGTGGCAGCACAGTCTGTTTCGATGAGTTTGAGAACCAAAGTATTTCAGACTATGGAAGACAAAACACTGTGCAATTTATGAGGACTTATAGCCCAGAAGATAAAGGCAGACTGTGTATATTGGAGAACATCATGGAAAAACCTACTTCAAACTTATTTTATAGGAAACAAAGAGGTTTCCTCCTCTTTGTCCTAAGGCAAAAAATATTTAATAGAACTGTCAGGAGTAGGAGGTTGTAGGAACAAGGCTCAGAGTTTAAGCTCCAAGGTCATTTCATCTAAAATTCATGGGATCAATACAGTGTGTACTTCAGAAGTCAGACAGTACTTCTCTGGTGTAGATAAAACATTTTCTATTTCTCTTGTGCTGCCAGGAGCTTTGTCAAGACTGTTCCTCAGGATTTCAGTGCACCTTTCTAAAATTCTTAGTAGTGACCTGTATGAACTGTAAGCTATTTATTATTTCACTGCCAGAGAGACAACCCACTGTGTGCTTCAGGACATCCATACATAGAAAACAGGATTTAAGAGTTCATATTCCCTAAGCCCTCTACTGAGTCACAAACAGTTGAAATTTCCTCCCAGTGCAGTAGTTGCTAAGATATAGCAGCACACCTAAAAATTATTCACTTTAGATTGCTGCCTATTTTTCTTACATAAAAGCTCCAGGTCTTTTTTATTGCAGAGAGCATTTCCCATGTCTCAAGCCACCCACACTACACCTGGCTTTGTATTCCCACCTCTTGTAGCTTTGGCCAGCTACATGAACCATGCTTAAAACTCATCCAACTCCTGCATTGACATGCAAAGTCAGATTAAGCAGCTCACATAAAAAATTAGTTGGTTAAAGCAGTCAACACCAAGTAGAAATAGAAGCAAATAATGTAAATTTAACTACCAAAGATAATTGTTTCTCAGCATGCTACTGCTTAGGAAGTTTGGTCACCAATGGTCTTTATAGCTCCCATGTCATTTGCTGCCAGATGATCAACTTGTTTATCACAAGGTCATTTGCATATTAGGGTGAGTCTTGGGACAACAAGCCTTTCTGAAAAGGGAGGCTCAGGGATGCTGAGAAAGGCTGCACTAAGTACCCTTCTATAATGCCAGAAGAGTTCTCTTGAACTTCTGAGTTGACTGTCATATGCAGTAAAATATAATCTACTTAGCAACATTTAGTAAAATATACTAAAACATAAATGTTCAGTTCATGAACTGAACCAAGCTCCCCAAGGCTTTTTCCTTCTTCCAGGGAATTGCTATCCAGTGCCAAAGATCCTTATGCCATCTTTAAAGACCAGGTGAAAGTGACCAAGTATCAACATCTAAAAACGACTAAAGGATCCCAAGAGGCCCCAGGGTTTGGAAGCCTAGAAATGCCTGTTCTCAAGACTCAGACACATGATGAGATTTTTGTAGGTTTAATGTTTTGAAGCCTCAAACTCAAAGACAGTCAGATATTTACTGGGCAAAAAAAATTGAACCAACTGTCAGTTTAGACAGTTAGATGGGATTTCAAGCTCCTTATCAGCAGCTATTAGGACACCAGCCATCAGATTTCTCATTCTTTCACTCAAGCATTTTATCAAGAGTCTGGTAAGAAATAGACCAACATTAACTACACTTGTGATACCAGTGTCCAAAGAAATGATCAATGTTAGGAGCTTAAAATAACCACTTACATATGGAATGAACTGGTGTTGTGAGCAGCATATACAACATCAACTTATGCACTGCTTACATAACCACAAGACATGAAAAACATTTTTTGAAATGCTACCTTGATGACAGAGGCACTGAGCCAGCTTATTGTGCAGCAGAAGGGAGAATAGCATTTGCACCAGTGCTGTTCTGGATACCCCCGTTGGCACAGCACAACAAGGGCAGCTCCAGGACTGGCAGCACTGGCCCTGTTGCATTTTAACCCTGCCCAGACCTGATGGAGACCACAGTGATCAACTTCAGTGCAGTTTGACCCACTGCAGTCAGCAGGTAACACACACAAAAGCATTCTACAGGATTTCCAGCTCAGGCCAAGTGTTAAAGGCCACATTCTTTCCCTTCAGAGGACTGTCTCAGTAGGTCTGGAATTACATCTGGCTTAAGCTTTCCTTGAAAAAAAACTTGTAAAAGTAATTTTCTAGGCCAATTCACTAGAGAAGAAAGTCCATAATTCCAGTTTGATCTTCTCATCACCTCCCACACAAGTGGTGTCTGGTCATATTTTTACTGCATCGGAGAGGGAAGAGCTCAGAGGCAAATGAAGAGGAAAAAATCCAAAGGATGTGTCAATAATACAAACCTAACAGACAGCAACAGACAGCTCCAGTAAAAGTTATTAACAAGACACTGTGATATGGCTGGCTGCCTTGCTCTCCACTGCTCTGACAGCCCTGTGGATTACCTGCATGAGGGCAACTATAAGTTACTAAGTGGACAAAGCATTCTGACATTTCACTAATTATAGAGCTAACATTTTGGCTAATCTTAACTAACTAAATTTTATGCCAGTACTTAAACACACAGGACAAGTAAAAGAAAGAAAGTGGATAGAAGTATAGTTCACTTACATGTTAAAAAAACATACAACCTGGCCAGGAATGCTGCTAAACAAGACCAGAGAGGATTTTAAAAGCTTTACATGCTATATTAAGCATGATACAAATTGAGATATGAATTGCATCAAAGCACCACAAAGTTTTCACTCAAGCAATATGTGCAGTAGTAACAGGTCATTAATATTTGTTAAAGATTTCTGTTCTTATGCAAGAACAACTTGAAACACATTTGGCCAAAACAAGGTACAGTAAAACCAAGAATGTGGCCAAAGAAGCCAGTGTTGAACATTTACTACCAGTAAAGGTCAAGTTATTGGAAGAATAACAGGAGAAATATTCAAGCACAATATGAGAAGTACAATCAAATCAGGCAAGTAGCTACACACATTATCTTCTCACCTTTACATTCACCCTCTATACTTCCACCTACTTAAGCCTTCAGGTTTTTATTTTGAGCTCCCCACAGTCATGTTCTCTTTGTGTTTACATGCAGTCACTAGTCTGGCAAGGGAAGCAATGCTGACAGAGCCTTTTATTAGCCTTCAGGCTTTATTAACAAGCTTTAATGAGGAGAAGCTCCACTAACCACTTGTGTCAGTCAGCATAAGTGCTCTAGTTCTTGCCCACAGCATGCAGACATTAAGCAGGCAGAGATCTCAAAGCTGGCTGTTTCCTCTTTGCATTCTGGCAGACAGAGGTTTTTCAAGTTCCACCAGCACATTTCTTTGCCTTGATGTTACGACCACCTTATCAAAAAAGCTTAATGTCTGAGTTGCCCCAGAATTGAAATCAAGGGGGAAAAGTTGCTTTGGCTGTACAACTTCACTTCAGCAAAACAGTGCAAGTAGTTGCACTTCCATGACATCCAGAAAGTTAACAGAGCATTTAGAGTGCCCTGAAAAGCAGGCATCACACAGATCTCCCAGCTACATCAGGAACAAATCTGGCAAAAAATGTAGACAACTGCATGCAATTACATCTTTCCTTATAAAGCCAGCTGGGTTTTGTAAGGACAGCCATCAGAAAAGTTGAACATTTCCTTAATTCTTCTTGACTTTGATCTCTGCCACTTCCTTAGCTCAAGACTGAATTAGCTACTCACCCCAAAAGCCTCCACCAGAAAAAGGGGGTCAGGGAACAGGGGGTTAAGGAAGTCAGAATTGAGTCAAGAGTTTCTCCACGTCAGTACTCACCATCAGAGGGCACTACTGTACTGCAATAGACCACTCTCACGCTCTGCCAAGGAGAAAGCCTCTGGTGCACCTAGAAAACACAAGCACAGCAAAAAGGACAAATGTTCAGCGCAGCTCGGCTGGCAGAGTCACAGCCCGGTGCCACCTCCTGTCCCCCCCTCCCGCCATCCCCTGCCCCAAATGCCTGTGCGAGGCATTTCCTCCCATCCACCGCAGGGGCAGCCACAGATCAGGAGCCCCTGCTAAGAACCGTCTTCTCTGACCATCTGTCACCCAGGAGGGTTCCCCGCCTCAGCCAAGTTCACCTCTCCACACCTCAACGCACATAGTTTAAAGGGAGAACGTGTAACAGAACAGCTGTCTTTTTTTAATATAAAGTGCATTTTTAAAAGCCACATTGAAGTCTATCAGTTCTAAGAAATCAATTCAGCTTGCTACTCAGACATGCAAAGTAGAAATCACACATCAGTCTTTTGGGGTTAAATAACATTTGAGCGTGACAGTGAGGGAGGGTTAAGTGTAGATTAAGAGGTTCATTCTCTTTCCTGTGCTGACATGTCCTTTTCTTCTTACCCTTGCAGAGAGAAGCCAAACTTGGTGACACAAGTAGTAAACATGTCAGTTGATAGAAAAATAAATACAATATAAAAAAATATAGTGATACTGAGCCATTAAAAAGTGCCCAATAAGAAAACACAGGAATGGTTTGAATGTTCTGCAACCTGGGCAAGGGACTAATTTGTTATGAAAACCTAAAATGAAGCTGATTTAAAGTCTGTCTTCTAGGATAAGTCACACCAGTTACATACTAACCCTCCTTCAACATCGAGATGAAAATTTTGGCACAGAAAAGCTTGATTTAAAAAGAAGTCTAAGGCACAAAACCAGGTCTCATCTGTCTATGGTGTATGTTTTTCAGCCACCAACACTCAGATTTTTTAGCAGCTGCAAGTCAATATGGGCATCCCTACGGTCTGGGATTTTGTTTGTTGATTTCCAAAAGACAACTGCCAACCCTGCATTTCTGTAAAGGTATCACACAGGTAGGGCTTTTTTTTAAATTTCTAGTGGAAGTTTGCAAACAAAACCCAGGCTGTTGATTATTTCTCTGCCAAATTGTCCAGACCTCCGTATTTTGCAAGGTTGCTTTCAATAAGCTACTTGAAATAGCTTTATCTGCTACTTCATTTGCCTTCTGAAGCCTGCTATGCAAGGAGATGATGGTTTCAACTACACTAATCTTTTTTGAAAAGCAGGACCTATGGCCCATGTGGTCAGTGCACTGACAGCTCTGGAAATCACCCTCATTTGTGCTGTATTTACACTCCATTTCTCTCAGCCTTGACAATGAAAAATCAGTCAAGTCACTTTCAATTTTCCTCCTTGCACCTACATTTTTAGGTTCCCAGAGTTGAGTCACATAGCAGCTTACAGTAAAAAAAAAAAAAAAAAAAAAAAAGAAAGAACTGGGCATTAAACAGCTCTAACTCAACTTCTTTGGGAAGTTTCATGGCTTGGGAAAAGTAATGTTCTTTAAAAAAGAAAACTCTTCAGTGTTGGGAGCCAAATGGCAAATTCTCCTTCTCACTTTTGAAAAACAGCAAGTCTTCTGGATGGACACACATGCATGTTCTACTACTGAACAACCACAAATGCCCTAAAGAAACAGGTTTAAAACCCAAAAAACATCCCACGAACACCACAGACAGAGCCTCATGTCCTGCACAAATGAAGCTCCACTCTCTTGGCATCACTATAATATAATGGAAACAGTCAGAAGCTTCAGTGATCAGAAGCATGTAAGTTAGTTTTCAGAATCAAATTGCACTTAAGGAAGAGAAGCCTCTAGAGGAAGCTTAAAAAAAGACCTTTTCCTATTTGAAGCAATTTCAATTTTAATCCTTCTAAAAATAGTGTCAGAGCAGATAAAATAGTACGAGGTCAGAGTTTATACAGGGAGACACAAAGCCTCCTGTAAGGGAGCACTACCACAAAGCACTGTTATTTTATCCAATCCCACGGCAGAGCTGGCACTTTCAGATGTGCTTCTCACTGCTTTTATCTTCCCCTTTACGGGGCATTATCACCTAATTTTGAAATGCTGCACACCATGAGCCTGCCTTGCTACAAGATTTGCATGGCAGCCTGAAAATACAGTAGCAGTTTTTCCGAAAACCCTAAAAGCCACTAAATCCAGCCTTATGCCATTACAGACCAGCTGTATATACATGAAAGATATCATCAGCCTGCATCTGCAAAGACTTCACCTTAAAGCCATGAGCATTTGACAGGAACAAGCTAGCTCCAGAATTCTCCTGCCCTCACACAATACAGGCAGGAACACAGGAAAAAAAGGGTTGAAAAAACAGGACATATTGGGTGACTCATCAAAAAGCTGAGGTGCCTCCAGATTTAACCTCTGACAATTCTTCCACCTTCGTCCAGGTCTGAACCAACTCTTCTGTTTCATTAGCCCCACAGCAATATGCTGCCATGATTTTTTACAGAATGAGGTGCTGGTGAAACTATACCTATCTTTTACTCCTGCAGTTCTGAACTGCACCTTGTCATCTGTGCTGCTGTTAGGAATTTTATTTAAGAAAACAGTCTCTACTGGCTAGGTACAGGAAAAAAAAAAACAACCAAAACAAAACAAAACCAAATTAACTCAAAGTCAGCAGAGACCTAAATGCCATCTCCTGACATCGAAGGTTAGTGAGAGCTTAAGGAATCATCCACCATTTTTATTCTTGAAGGGTGGCTGTTTTAAAATTGAGGTGGAGAGAAATGCCTGAACCTTTTATCCCATGTCTGCAATTCAACAGCTTCGTGCAGAAATGAACCAGAAGAGCTGAAACACGGGACTAAAGCACTGTGGAGGAGAGGAGCTTGTTTCAAGCTTTGCTCACCAGATTCATGATGATCGTTTGCCTGCAGACAGTCAACAACTCACTGCCTCAGCAAAGAAGTGCTGAATAACTACACAAAGGTTGCAGGTGAGACAGACTTTTCCATCACTTCTGAAATCGATGAGATTTGGAGTGTGAAAAGCACCAAAGCCAGACCACTGAAACAAAAAGCTTGAAGCACCAGAATAACTTTCTGGGTCTCTACAGAACAGCTGCAGGAATTCACTTTTCACATCCACTTGATTCTTTGTTTCCTTTCAGATCTGCAGTAAGATGCATGTTAAGAGGGCTCTGGGTTACACAGCAGCTTTGCTCCCAGAAAAATTAAGGGAGCAAGAGTAAAAATCACAGTCCTTGGTGTAAAACTAAAACTTCCTTCAGCTTTGTCAAGATTTATGTAGACAATATATAAAGATAAAATAACACCAACTCTAGGTCCTTGATTCTAGACAGGTGACAAAGTTAGTCAAAGCCCTGCTAGAAAAAACAGCCTTTTAGCTACCAGCAAATGGTCTCTGATACAAAGAGGGAGCAACCTGGCAGAGCCCACCTTTTGTATTTTATGTAATTACCAACTGATAACAACTTGGGGATACCCATGTCTCCAAACCCTAATTAAAAATCAGGAAAAATGGTCCAGAAAAACACAACCAAGTACGAGAAACATGAATACTTTAATCTAGAACACAAGTAGAACATGGTAACTCATTGCCTGGAGTACCAGCTACAGACATGCTGTAGAGCTTCTGTGAAAGACAGTGCATTCTGTGTAAAAATGTCTTACTATGAGTGAAATATTTAAGAGTTACATTTGGAAAGTGCCAGTTGCAACATCTCTACAATTTGTGAAGGGCCTCACTTAAATGAGGCCGCCTTAAAGTCAGAAACGAAGCAGCTCACCTTTTCCAACAATCAGCAGCAATTTTCCTCTCTATTCCCATTTTCACAGCATGAAAAACTGAATCTCTCTTCCCTAGCCCTAAGAATGGCTGTCTCTTAAAACTTCTTGGCTAGAATCTCAGTGACCAAATATGCTGTGAGCTTCCTCAAACAAGCACAGAAACACAAGCCACCCACCTCAGAAGTGCCAGAGAGCTCCATTTATTGATCTTTCCTCCATTTCCAAGCTCCAAGCAGTTCTACTCCTATACTCTGTGACATTTTGATCTCTCTAAACCAGTACTTCCACCCTAAGACACAGGGTTCCCTTTTGCTAACTCATTTCCCTTACTCCTCACACCAGCTTGTGTGTGCAAAGCAGAGGAGACGCAGACAACAAACATTTTATGACCAGAAATCTGCTGTCCCAACTCAACAGCAAATAAAAATGGTTAATATTTTTTTTATGCTGGTATATAAGCTACTACTGGATTTAAGTACATAAAACACTGTGGTGTGTTGACCACGGCCTGCTGCCCACCCAGCGACTCCCCTCACCCCCCTCCTCAACAACATGTCGGGGCAGGAGAAACAATATGAAAAACCTCAGGGGGCAGGGTAAAGGCAGGGAGATCCCTCAAACACTGTCATACACGTAACAGCCTGGACTTGGGGGAAACTTAATTTATTGCCAACTGAAGTAGGTAACAGCAAGAAACAGACAAACTAACACACCTTCTCACCACCTCACACCTTCTTCCGCAATCCACCTCAGCCCTTCATCCCAACTTTACCTCACAGCTTTTTCCACAATCCACTTTAGTCCTTCATTCCAGCTTCACCTCACAGCTTCTTCCACGATCCACTTTAGCCCTTCATTCTAGCTTCTTCACCCCCTCATGAGGCACAGGGGAGACAGGGATTCTATCTGGGAACACCCCACAGAGATCCCTGTGTGGATCCATGGCCAGGTGGAAGGAGACTCCCTACCTGCTCCCCTCCTCAGTGCTTGAGGAGCTATTCCTCACAATTTTTGCCCTCATTCCCCTGCTTGTTTCCCAGCGTTTTCCTCCTTTGTCACCTCAGTTTCCCTGGGGTCCCACCAGCTGGGCTGAGGCACTACTGGAACTGGCAGGAAGCAGCTCAGGGCAGGACTAGCCCATCCTCACAGAGACCCCTCAGCCGCCAAAGTCTGCAAATAGAGACCTAAAGAACCAACGCAAGGCTCTGAGCACAGATGAGACCTTTTTGGTCCTCAGACAAGGCAGGCTCCTGCAGCAGCCCCTCACACAGGGCTGAGGACAGCCAGGGGCAGGACAAGGCTCCATGGCAGCCCTAACTCCCGCAACAGCCGCAAAGAGGGACCGTGCTGCTGCCTGCGCTCAGGTGCGGCCCTGAGAATTCCAGGTGCCTTCTTCACCTCCAAAGAGATAAAAAACAGGCCAGTCTGGCATCAGAGATCCCTACCTGCATCTCTCATCCCCTTATTTGCCACCTTTGCTCCTTTGGATACCTCAACCACCTTCCAGGATCTCCCTTGGAAAAAAACCAAACCAACCCACCCCAATTCCCCTCTGAAACTGAACCCAACTTGACCAAGGATTTGTTCAACAAATCCCTACTGCTCTACAGAACACCTTCTCCAACTTTTTGCTACTGTCTCTGGGTATATTAACTTAAATATTACACAAAGCCTTTCCTTCATGGCACACACCCTGTGCTTCTCCTGGAGAGTCTGGTCTGCAACAAAACAGCACTTGCTCTTGCAAAGGTAACACTGGAACTACATTGCTCTGCTGTCCTGCAGCAAGCTGGTCAAGCAAAAACCCCAAATATTTGGCCCAAGAGGGGAAAGTGGCAGAAAAAGCCCTTGTATCTGAGATCCATGCTCAGGCAACACAGAACCCCTCACACCCTCGAGGACAATTTTACCCTCAGTTTCCAGCAATTCCAACACTACCGGCTTTTTAAAGCACACAGATTGTCTCCCAGGGCTGAAGCACTTGCCTGATTACAATTCACTGGCTTGAACTAATTTCTTGTTCTCTTTGCCCACACCCCACTCAAAAGGTCGAATTTTGCCCTGAAAAGAACCTTTTGCACCTGCTGCCTCCATAGGGCAACGTTTCTACAGAGGAAGGTCAAGCAAACAAGAACCCATAAGAATTGCAGTGGTTTTTTAATTTTTGTTTTAAAATCAGGCTGAGAAGATGGACAAAAAAGGCTATGCCAGCAAGATGTGGGAAGTGTTAACCTTTACATTTGGAAGCACTTCATGTGACCTGCACTTCAGCAAATGGTCTTCATTTGCCTCACTTCTCATTCCTGTCTGAATTTTATTTCAACATAAGCACAGAGCTCCATCACATCTGCTAGGAAAGGAACAAACAGGAGGTGAGCTATAAATATTCCCTTCCCATCCTGCTTCCTTTGCCCATCTGCCTAAAAAGAAACAGGTAATTCACAGTGTCCAGGAAGAGGTAGAGGTAGGAGGTTCATTCCTTGCAGAAAAGGAAAAAAAAAAAAAAGGTTGAAGCTCCTTGTTCTTCACTGCACATTTCTCTCATGTGTTACTGATGCTGTGGAGACACTGCAGCAAGCTGTCTTGTTTACAAGAACACTGCTGCTTTTGATGACTTTGATAGAGCCCCTTGGGAGCAAGAGAGGGAAGAGGAGGTGATTAAAGGAAAAAATGTTTAATAGATGGCATTAAGCACATCAACCAAACAGCCTATACTGCTTGTAGCAGGTGCTTCCTTTGCCACCATCCACAGTAATTTCACCCACCCAAAATCAAACAAAAACCAAGACAAAACCTTTTCTAAGCCTATATTCTTACTTTTATGGCAAGGGTCAACAACTTGGAGAGGATTACACCCTTTCTAATTTACTTGAAACAGTTGATACCACAGTACACTAGACCACAACACTCCCTCTTTGATACTTTGAACAGTCCTCCCTGTCTCTAGCAGAGAACATTCCCCTTGCTGTTTCTGATGCCAGACCACGTTTTCACTATTAAAATACTTTCTGTTTTACTGGAGTGGGATGGTTTGAATTCCATTTCTTTTAATACAGCTCTCATACTCACTGGAAAAAAGCTGGTAATTTTCATTCCCTTGTATCCTGAAGGTTTGAAACACAGAAACCAAACAAAATGCTGTGACACTTTTTAGGCTGTCTCAGCTTTGAAACCTGAGCACAAAGGCAAGACAGAGCTGAATTCCTTTCCCTGTTTTTCAAATTCATTATTTTAATCTTTCTGTATTGAAAAGGACAGTACTTCTCAAATTGAAGGGGCTTCCAACTCCTGGTTTAAAAAGGAATTTGAAGAATTTAGGGAGTTTTGATCCCACTGATTTTAGGGTACATGATTTTGTCTCTGCCAGCTACAAACAGCTGAACATGTAACAACTAGAGAGAAGGAAACAGACTGGTGTGGGTTACAAATCAGCTAGATCCAACCCCCTTCTGTGGGCGGGGACACCTCCCACCAGCCCAGGTTGCTCCAAGCCCCATTCAACCTGCCCTTGAACAACTGCAGGGATGGGGCAGCCACAGCTGCTCTGGGAAACCTGTTCCAGTGTTTCACCACCTTCACACTAAAGAATTTCCTCTTCATGTCTAACTTAAATCTCCCATCCTCCAGTTTTAATCCATTTCCCCTCATCCTCTCCCTCCCTGTCCTTGTCCCAAGTCGTCCCCCCCCAGCTTTCCTGTAGTCCCTTCAGGCACTGGAAGGTGCTCCAAGGACTCCTCAAACCATCTTTGTGGCTTCCTCCCAACTTTCCCTTCCTCAGCTATTTCTCCAGGGCAACTTACTGTAATTTTGTTGTTTTTGTTTGGTTTTCAGCCTGTAGCACTTACCGACCCCATGAGGCAATTCCTTTTGTCTTTGTTACAGCCAACTTAAAAGAGGAGTTCATACCCCTCTTCTCCTACACTGCACAATGAATGGCAAGAGCTTCCTACTGAGGAAACAGCAGCTGACACATGGCTGGTGCTCACAGTATCAAGAATGAAACAACAAGCCAAGTTATGAAGTGAGGTTTCCACAAATGCAAGGAAATTCCTTCTGCCTTGCTGTGTGCTGGAGAGCAGCCAACTCACACTAGTTTTCCAAGGAAATA